TCAGTGAGATCCTTAGATCCCGCCACTACAGCTCACAAAAAATGAAACCATAAGTATATGCTTATAAAACAGTTCAATATTTACTTCAAAATATTTTTTACAGAGTAAGACTTGAAAAAAAGGTGACAAACAAAAATAAATAAATATAGGAAATGGACAGTAAGGCCAACATCGGAACTCCACATACTGAACTGTATAAACATTTCGCAACATTTTATTTGTTTTGCTTAAATAATCTGACATACACTTTCCTTAAACTTATTCCATTTTTGTCATTCATTATCATGTTTTTGTCCTTACCTGCTGACAACTCACACACGTTTTGATCTTTTGAATCACATGTAGTATTATGTACAACACAAACAATATCATTACAAATGGACAGTTCTAGATGAATTCTAGATCGTCAATATTCTGAACGGAAAAGACGACGACGTCATTCTGAAATTTACCTTCACAATCAGTTTTGATGTTAATAAATCCGAGTGAAGCAGAACATGCCATTTTCATCAGAATACTTTGTATATTATAATATCTAACATAAACAGGAATAATTTACGAAGTCACTTCGCAGTAATATTGGACAGAAGTGATGTTGTATATGGTGAGCTGTTAGCAGATAAGCTTCATAAAACTAGACTGTCCTTCTATTCTAAAAGCCGAGGCTGACTTCCATTGTCCTCTTAATCGAAAAAGCAAAAGAACTACACAATTTCAATTTAAACAAATTATAAAACACAACTATAAGTTAAATAAAAACATCACAAAGGCTTGATCCGGACATGATGCTCCTCCGCACACGCTGACTCATTTTGGCACTAATTTCGCCATTTCGTATTTCTCAGGATCTGGCAAACAGCGAGACATTCAGATTTACATGTTTGCGTTGGCTGTCCCAAAAGCAGGACCTATTAAAAAAAAACGCGTCACAGAATGACGAATACATTAAAATATAATAAATGCACACAGTAAGCCCTTCTGGAACAGAAACACACAACAGACATGAGACTCTATGAGGGGATGAACTGATGCTCGAGTGCTTACAGGTCGAATCCATGGTGGAAATATGACTATAACTATAACTAACAATGGTAAAATACACACCCAGCTGCCAGTCTAACACAGTTCTTACATCATAATAGCAGGGGAAATACAATAACTGTTACAGAAACAGTTCACTCAGAAATGACAGTTCATGTTTGCTCACCCTCATGCCTGGTAGGATTATTTTTAAGTGTCCTAAAATGCACAGATATTTCCATGCAACGAGAGTCCATTCCACTTTACAAACCTCAAAAATGTGGGTCTGTTGCTTATGGAAGCTTGTTTCCTTTTCAGTCGGTCATGTTTGACATACGTAGACGTATTGGGATCACGGCAGGGAGCCCATCATCTCCGAATGTTACCAGACCGAGCCAATGCACATTTGCGTACGAGATTTGCTCCGCCCCTCAGCGAGAGTATAAATAGGAAGCGAATGCAAGCACCATAACGTATAACTGAACAGATAACTGTATGCCTCTGAAGAGTGTTGAAACTAGCCCTAATGAAACAGAATTCAAGTGTGTATGTCGACTGTTCTTCGGGAAGAAGCCGCTCCTCCAGTTTCGGAGTGACAGCGAGAGAACAGCGGTGGTCCCGAGATACTTACAGATGTCAAGCGCTGTTTTGTGTTGTTGTGTTGGTTAATGGGCGCCTTCACCGAGGTAAATGTTTTTCTCAACAGTGAGTGAGTGTTTACTGTGCACCATCCCCTGCTGATGTTGCCGTGGCCATTTCCCCAATGTGTTTCGGCACTGAGAGAGCTAATTCCTGTAAGAGCAAATACGGTGTGACTGCGTCTTTTTCAAGATGTCATATCACCAGTGTTTCTGGATATGGTCGTTCTCTGGCACTGGGCAATCATTGCAGGAGCATGACCATCAAGACTCCTACACCTCAAACGAGGTGGAGACCCCTTACCTATGCCTTGATCTAGTGCCCTATTGGCCAACCCCTAAAGAGGGCAAGTTCGACGACTAGCCAGGGTGATCTGAGGATCACAGTGAGGGCTTCCCTGTCCGGTACCCAATCCCTGTGGGCGCTCACTCCTCTCAGACACAGCAAGCCGTGGAGCTTCTGGTGAATCGTGCTGGTTCCTCTCATGACCAGCCAGTCGTTTCATTCGGGGCTGCCCCTGCTGACCAGATGTCTATCGCAGCATCGGAGGGTGAGCTTGAGTCTGGAGATGAAGACTCGGCTGCCCCGTCTCCTTCAGGGAGAGTTGTGTAGCCCGAGTCGGATCCAGAATTGATGGATATCCTTCCCCAGGCAGCCGAGAGAGTTGGGCTCCACCGTGTCCCGAACCCTCGAGGCTGGATAATTGGCATCTCGGGGCGGGCCGTGATGGTCCTCAGCGTGCAGCCCCAGTGCCTTTCTTTCCAGAAGTGCATGACTATGTTACCAGGACAGCTTTTTCTGCCCAAAACTGAAGTGAACTGAACCTTCACTACTCTTGACAGCAGTGTTGTAGTCGAGACCACCTCACTCGAGTCCGAGTCCAGACCGAGACCAGAGAGAGTCGAGTCCGAGTCAAGACCGAGTCCATAGAGAGTCGAGTCCAAGTCGAGACCGAGACCAGAGAGAGTCGAGTCCGAGTCAAGACCGAGACCAGAGAGAGTCGAGTCCAAGTCGAGTCCGAGACCAGAGAGAGTCGAGTCCGAGTCAAGACCGAGTCCATATAGAGTCGATTCCAAGTCGAGTCCAAGACCAGAGACGGTCGAGTCCGAGTCGAGACCGAGACCAGTGAGGGTTGATTACCTAATTTACTTTTATTTACTTAGAGAAATCCTTTTTTTATTTTACTGAATTTACTTAGAGTTTAAAAAATATGATCAGTTTAGGGTAAAAAGGCCACATAGTAGGTGGTGTTAAAAGTAATTTTATTACAATTTGTCATGCGCAGTTGCACACTAGAAAATCACAGATCACTGGGCGTGTCAATCAATTTAAAGAAATATTTTATTAACATACATTAATAATCATGAAAAATATTTTTAATTGAACTCGAGTGGACTCGGGAATAAGTCCGAGTCCTAAAAAATTTTTTTTTCGAGTTCGAGTCAATTCCGAGTCCAAATGCACACGAGTCCATGACAAGACCAAGACCATTAAAATATGGTCTCGAGACCGAGACGAGTCCGAGTCCCGAGTACTACAACACTGCTTGACAGTAGTTCAGCCCAAGGGCACGTGGATAATCCTCCGGATGAGTGGTCAGTCACGATGCAAATGTATCCAGCGCATCCGCATCTCCCATCATAGGCCTGTAAGTTCTCATCCGCTCTCACGGGCAAGGCTAACAGAGCCTGTGGACAGGGACTCCTCCCTGCATGCCATGGTGTTTCTGCAGGTCCATCCGGCCAAAGCACTCATGGACATGCACAAGTGTAGCCCTGACCGAGAGCTCATGGAGGACCACCGTACGCCAACTGACTTCCACCCTCCGAGCGACGAAGGTTGCCGCATGTTCAGTCGGTCGGGTCAGGGTCCACTCTTGTGGTCCAGGAACACCATCTCTGGCTGAACCAGACTCTGGCTCCTCTGCAGCCGCTCCACCACGGCCAGTTCTTCACTTCATTTCTACGAGTTAGAGAACCCCTAGACCAGTGGTTCCCAAACCTGGACCACCAAAACTGCATGGTTTCGTTGTCTCCCTAATCAAACACACCTGATTCAACTCATGAGTTCATTATCACATGGGTTAATGAGCTGATGAGTCGAATCAGGTGTGTTTGATTAGGGAGACATGGACAACATACAGTGTTGGTGGTCCTCCAGGACAGGTTTGGGAACCACTGCCCTAGACGAAGTGTCCAGGCATGCTGTGGTCACCATGCAGTGTTGCACTGCTATTTATACAAATATATCTTTCTTAGTACGAGTTATGAAGGATTCTTGTGAAGGAAAGAAATTGTGTGACAAACCCTCAGCTCATGGTCAGACCCTTCATTTCTACAAGCTGGATCAACACTGGCAGAAGGCGCCTTACTAACAGATATCTGTAGAGCTGGGGGCGGGGCGACACCAAAGGTTTTATAGCCTTCGTGTCGAGCTGGTATCCTCCAGTGTGCTCGCTTCCCATAGCCAGAAAACACCGTAGGTCCCGCTCAAAGAGTCGGCTTGCTGCATCATTCCCCTCCTATGGACCGGATACATGGGACATTTCTGCTCCGGATGAGTTTCCCGTTAGCCAAACCCTGTCGAGTTCCTCCACACCCCCCAGCAGGCATAACGCTCGTCTGCATTGGTGGAACCTGTGCTAGGGTGGGTCCCACATGTTGTGTTCCCTACGGTGATCTCATGTGTGTATTCCTCCACGGTACGGCTCCCTGCGGTGAGACAGTGTCTTTCCCTTGGTAGAGCCTGGGAAACAAATGGTGCTTGCATTCGTTTCCTATTTATACTCGCAAATCTCACATCAATGTGCATTGTCTCGTTCTGTTAACGTTCGAAGATGATCGGCTCCCGGGGGTGATCCCAATACATCGGTACGTCTATGGACGTCAAGCGTCCATAGTTTCTCACATATGACCTTGGATTACTTTGGAGTAAAAGCATGGACTATTTTTGAATTTATGGATCTTTTTTGAAGCTCGACTGACTTCAGAGGTACAGTATATGACGACTCTTTAAAACAAAACAATCTTTGTGTTCCATGGAGAAAAAAAAAAGATGAGGGTGAAGAAATAATGACAGCAGTGATGAAGGCTCTCTTTAAATCTTAGGAGTTTCCAATTCACCGTGATGCTCAAAACAAGTGATTTCAATCCCAGAACACATTTAGGCAAAGCATTACAGTGGGAGATCTGGTTTATGAGGCTTATAAATACTTCATATAATGTCATGCAATGCCAGTGGATAAGGCCGAACGTTTGTAAAGTTTACAGAGGGAGGCGTCTTGCACTCTGAGTCGAACGGACTTGCGTGAACCTGAGAAAATGAAACCACTGCTAGTATTGTGAAGCATTCAGCACCTCTGCTGACACAGTTTAATCTACTTTTATCGGCCCTGAACGCCTTTTCAGTCACACAGACAGAGCCATAATCACACACGGGTAGAAATGACAGGTTATCTGTACTTTTAACACTACAAATGTTCTCTGTGACACAATATATGATGTCGATAATATGCTTGTCAGCATGCAGTATGTATATCTTTGCTAGATCGGGTACGGTACAGGCAACATCGCTCTCCGACACGACGGCACAAACACCGGCGTTCTCAGGGACTGATGAGTGCTGGATCAGATCTGGCCATATTTCACCCCAAAACCACATCTGACATGTTTCAAGGTGAATTACATTCACTGTAAATGTACTACAATAATGATTCGGTAACACTTTACAAACATTAGTTAACTACCGTAGTTAATACGAACTAAGAATTAACAATACCTCTAAAGCACTTATTAATCTTAGTTAATATTAATTTAAACATTTACTAATACATTACTAAAATCAAAGGTTGTATTAGTCAACATTAGTTAATGCACTGTGAACTAACATGAACAAACAATGAACAGCTGGATTTGTATTAACTAACATTAACAAAGATTAACTAATACAGTTTCAAATGTATTGCTCATTGTTAGTTCATGTTGCTTAATACACTAACTAATGTTAACTAATGAACCTTATTGTAAAGTGTTACCAATGTTTCATTAGATGATAGCATGTATCCATGGACACTTCACCAACGTAATGAGAATCGATGATGAAAACGTCACAAAAATTAAAATAAGGCGTAATATCTTTAATATACTTTTTTCGGATTTTAGAGTAAAATATGGCCCAGGTATTGCGTGTCAGCTCACAGAACGTTGCATGCTGGGTATGTATCTGGCATGAGCCAGTGAACTTCTCCTCACTCCATAATACTGTATACTATACTGTACTGTATACTCCATAAGACGTCCTCATGCTACTCGGAAACACGAGGTCCCAATCTCCAGCAGGGAATTTCACGGATGATTTAAATTGCATCATAAATCATGGCTTTTCTCGCAACTACAAATTTATATCTCGCAATTATTACTTTTTTCTTAGAGGTGTGCGATACAAACACGCAAATTGCGATTTATAAAGTTTGCAAATTTGCTGTTCTGACTTTTCTCGCAATTGGGCGTTAATATAATTATAATAATTCACAATTGCGAGAAATGTCAGAATTGCGAGATTGTTTCTCATATTTCGGAGAAACAAGTAACAATTGCGAGATATAAATTTGCAGTTGCGAGAAAAGTCAGAATTGTATGGAAGCCTGTTTCCGCCACAGGATAGAAAAGGTAACTGCGACTTTTTATCTCACAATTCTGACTTTTTTTCTCACAATTACGTGATGTACGTAACGCAATTGGGACCGTATATTTACAATTCTGACTTTACATCACGCAATTGTGAGAATAAAAGTCCGAATTGTGACTTTATTTCACGCAAATCTGACTTTATATCTCGCTTCACTCTTCGCTCCATAATACTGTAGTTAGAGATGTTTAGCCAGTCGGAGCAGCAGACGTCCTCATGCTACTCGGAAACACAAGGTCCAAATCCTCCAGAATGGATTTTCACGCATCCATGGCTGATTCTGAATCGACTCCTCGGGTCAGACGAAGCCCGGGTCAGACGAAGAGCTGGATGCGCTCGCGGATGGTCTGCCGGCAGATGGGGCAGGTCTTGAGCGCGGCGCTGCATTCGATGCAGGAGGCGTGCCCGCACTGGAACACCAGCTTGATGTGGTTGTCGATGCAGATGGGGCAGGTGATGCGCTCCTCCATCTGCCGGTACCGGGACTGGAGCTGCTCCAGCAGGTTGTGTTGCTCTGAGTTCTCCGAGCTCGGGCTGCACTCCACCTCCGTCTGGTCTGAGAGAGGGAAGAGGGAAGAGCAGGAGTTAGTCAGGAAAGAGATAAAACACCCGTTTCCTTGCAGGACGTAAAAGCAAATGAGTCTTTAATACTGCTACTGTAAAGCTATTTCCTTAAAGCCCCCCTGTGGGGAGAATCCAGCTTTTAATGTTGTTTATGGGTACGTTTCCATGGCAACGATATGCCGATAATGGAGAAGTTCCCTTTAGAGGGAATTCGCATTGCGTCGGAATGACGTCTGAATCAAACTAATCCAACCGTGATTGGTGCTGCGTCATGACATGTGACGGCATTAACTGAAGCTACGCCGGCACACAATAGAGTTAGAGTTTTGCTCTTCAGCAAGCGCTCTGTGTACAACTGTGTCCTATTTGGTGTCGTTTGTCCTGTAGGAACTTGAATTGTTACCATAAGCACATCTTAAAACATGTATTCCTGTCCACGTTAAACTTCGGGAGGTGACACACGTGATGGGTGTTTGATAATGTTTGGAAACGAGGCAGACTAAAACGAGTCATTTCAGGGGATCGAGAACGAATCTTGAATAATACCCGAGATCAGCCTTGAGAGGGTGGTTCCCTTGGTAGAATATTTCAAAGCATGGCAAAACCTGCCAAATATTTCTCCTTGGGTCATGAGTATCATTCAGAAGGGATACAGACTCAACTTCGATTTCCGCCCACTGAATTTCAACAGGAGGGTTTGGACCGCAGTCGACCCAGAGCAGGATATGCCAGGATACACCAAAGAGCAGCACAGAGAAGTCCAAATTAAACACGATCACTTCCGGCGTAACATTGAACTGATTCAGTTCGGTTCAGTTGGACATTGAACAACTGATTCAGATCACTGTGATTACGAGGTAAAAACGGTTTTCTCACACAAACCGCTCGTTTCGTGTCTTAGGCCATCAATGTGTACTTACATTTACGAGTCATTAAATCATGTTTAATCTGGACTTCTCTGTGCTGCTCTTTGGTGGACCCCCTTAGCCTCCAGTGTATGACTGATAGACAACAACGGTTTGACTGAAAAATGTCAAAATTGAAAATACTGTGGAAACAAAGACACCTGCATCTTGGATGCCCTTGAGGTAAGATAAAACATACCAAAAATTTATTTCAAAGTGAACTATCCCTTTAATTATTTATAATGTTTACCATTTGGAAAAGAGGCCACAGGTGGAATGGAACTGTTCAAATCTCAGCATAAAATATCATCATCATTCAAATGTAAAAGCACTCACCCTGCCGGATTTTCTTCGTTATCGTCACCTGACAGCGGATGCACTTCTTCATTCTGTGAGCGCATTCTGAGGAGACACGACCCCACAGAGGTTGGCATTAGTGTGTGGGATTCAGTGATCAGAAACAGCACCCGTGAGTGTGTGAGTGTGTGTGTGTGTGTGTGTAAACTCACCCTCACACGCGACGCTGTGTTGGCAGGGGGAGAACAGCACTAGCAGCGCGAGCTCGGAGCAGATCAGGCACTCGCTGGGACCCGCCACACTCGGCACCGCCAGGTTGGTCATGGTGTTGGGCGTAGTGTGAACCCGCCGGAGACTGGCACTGCTGGTGCCCGTGCCACACGTGACGGCCTGCAGTCTGAACACACACACAGTGCTAGAAAGTTTATATCTATGATCTAACTTTAACTTTCCTCTAGATCTGAACTCTCTCTGTTCCTGTAATCTCCTGTCCACACACACCTGTGTTTCTCTGCAAAGCTCCTGATGAGGGTTTGTACGCTGCTGTCCGTCACCAGGTCCAGTGGGCTTTTTCCTTTATGATTGGCGTAGTTGATATCGGCTCCCTCCTGCGCCAAGAAGCAAGCGATGGCAGAGCCGACGTTCAGCTCCGTGTTTCCCATCAGCCCTGAGCTACTCAACTACAGGCACAGAGCGGAGGAGTAAACACACTGCGCACGTTTCAAACGGGCCCGTGTTTAGCGCGCGCGAGCGGCTCATCTTACCCTGCTGTAGAGCGCGGCCCCCTCCCCCTCGGCGCTGCCCATGACTGCGCTCAGCTGCTGGCGGCTCAGAGCCGTGTGCATCGCCGTGTCCCCGTCCTCGTCCTCCGCGTTCACGTCTGCGCCCTCCGTCACCAGCAGCGCCACCAGGGCCATGTGACCCTGATTCACGCTCAACTGCAGCGCCGTCTGGTTGCGGTTGTTGCGGATGTTGATGTCACAGCGACCCTTCAAGCGAAACAGACACACCGCCGGTCAATCAATCAGGGTTTCAAATTACTGGCTGAAATTTACGGCCAATTTGATTACTACATTTTTAAGTTACCGGCCATTCAGAACTTCTACTAGCCAAAAGAAGAAAAATAAACCACTACGCCACAGCTTATTAATATATATATATACACTACTATAGTTAATCTGGTTTATTTATTTTTACACTTTTTTTCTTATTTATAAAAAATGTCCTGGCTCTTCTAAGCTTTATAATGACAGTGAATAGCCGTTTCTGTTTTGAAGTCCATAAAATGGGTGAGTAAATCATGGTCTGTAGTTTTGGGTGTACTGTCCCTCAGGTGCTCTTTGTTCATTTCTGACCGAAACATTTTCTGTTTTGAATATTTAAAAATCACAGCTTCATCAGAATGTTACGAAACTTGGTGACTTTTATGGCATTGGGTATGTGAACACACAAAAAAATTGAGGTCATGATCTGAGCATGCTAAGTGGTCGTAAAAAATCAGTCACACTTTTGCTCTTCAGTCAAAAATGACCCCATAGGAAATGAATGGGAAAATGACAACAACAAAAAATTCTCTGAATTTTTGTATGTACAATCGACAAATCAGCCACAATTCTTAAAAAAAGTACACCGCAGGAAAGTGGTGACGCTCTACAACATCTAGAGTGCAAAACAGACACACATACACATACAAACACACTTTTATACACATACACACCAATAAATTTTGATTACAAAAAGTATGTTTTGAAATTTTAAAAATCACAGCTTCATCGCAATGTTATGAAACTTAGTGACTTTTATGGCATTATGTATGTGAACACACAAAAAAATTGAGGTCATGATCTGAGCATGCTAAAAAAATAGTCACACTTGTGGTCTTTGGTCAAAAATGACCCCCATAGGAAATGAATGGTAAATTGTATAAAAAAAAAAAAAAAAAAGAATTGTGAATTTGTCAATTTTTTTTTATAAGAAATATTTTTTGAGATTGTTTCAACTATCTATTCAAATCCACCAACAACAACAACAAAAAATGTGTTGATAAACAGCTGGGTAATTCACATGTCTCTCCATAGAGAGCTGTACATGCCATCTAGTGGTTACACCATGATTCTACGCTTTTTCTCTATACTGTAACCAGATGGGGCTAATTTTCTTCAAAAAATATTTTTTTTTCTGAAGGCCTAGACTCTATATTAAACTAAAATTCTGCATTAAAATTTTTTTTGAAAATAATAATATATATATAGAAATATATATATATTATTTTTCCATGGCAAAAATAGACCATAAATATTGTATAAATATTAATAAATTCAATTAAATTGTCTCAAAATACTAAATTCAAAAGAATAAATATTATAGAACAAAAATAAATTGCATTGGTTTTACTGGGATGGAGAAAAGTTTAATTTTTAGGCGTCCGGTCACTTTTGACCGGGAGGATAACAAGTGTGACCCCGAAACGAAGAGCACCTGAGGGGTAAATGTGTGATGAGGAGCAGTGATCGCTCTCACCTCTTTGAGGAGGATCTCGGCCACGTCCCGGTGGTTGTTCAGAGCGGAGAGATGAAGAGCGGAGAACCCATCATCCTTCTTCACGTCAGCCAGCTGTCGCGCTCGAGCCAAGATCATCTCCGTCGCGCTGGAGGAGCACACACACACACACACACACACACACGGTCAGAATCCAGCACTCGCTCAGAGGATCGTAGAAGCTTAGACGACACATTTTACATTTACATCTGTTTCCGACGCCAGGAACACCGGATCAGGATCCTCCATCAGTCGGATGGGCTTTACAAGCTCAATCAAGCTCCTCCAAGTTAATATTACTAACACGAACTATCTTTCTAAAAGATATATTAATACTATTTAATGTCAATTTTAACATTTACCAATACATGAGGAAAATCAAAAGTACATATTTTTGAAATCACCTGAACTAACAATGAACAGCTGTATTTGTTATTTACTAATGTTAATTAAGATTAATAAACATGGAAACAAATGTACAGTCAAACCAAAAATGATCCAGACACCAGCTATGATTTTCTGCTAGTGTGATCAGGATACTATAGTTCATATATGAGTCATCATAAGTGTTCTGTTGTGGGATGGGATGTAATAATGACATACGTATATAGTAGTTTTCACTTATTTCCGACATCAGAGCCACTGAAACCACAGTGGATGTATTGTATTTTGGAAGTTTAAGTGGCGCCTTTCCTTCGTAAATAAGTTTATGTTTGAGCGAATCATTTTCTGACTGACTGTTTTGTGAACGAGAGTCAATTGAAAGCAGGTCTTGCTTCACAGTTAATCCTCAAGTGTGGATCGTCATCTACTGTTTGCGATCCAACTAGTAAGTGTATTTTATGATTTTTGAGCAAATAGTCAACAATTCAACAACAAATGTGCCTAAAGTTGCTGTGCTGTCTGTGTATATCATTTAAAACCGTGTTTGTATAGTGTGCAACCACACGTTAATAAATATATATATATTTAAAGATATTGTATTAAAACCTGCATATATGTTGTTGTCCTGTAAGTTAGCCATCTCCTCACATTGGCCACAGAAGCACCTGTATGTATATCGTATAAATGTAATTTCGCTTGTACGTAGCAAACTTTATCACAGTAAGTGACTGATACACGTATGTATAAATACCTTTTTGTATTCTGTATGTTGTTGTATACTGTTCATTGTATATAATTTATTGTTTTTATTAATGTATATGGTACTGTGAGTAATTGTGCCCACATTAGATGTGTATCTCTATGTAATTGGATGTTTACTGTAAACTGTTATACGTCCATCATGTCATGACTGCTGTTGCTCAGAATCCCACCCAAGACCTTCCCTCACTGTTGCACTTGTGTGTGTGTGTGTGTGTGTGTGTGTATGGTTGTGTGACAATAAAAGGATTTGATTTATTATAAATATATATATATTTATTATATATTATAAATTATTTTGATGGTGACTTAAATAACTCAGCAACTACATCAACTAACTCTCCTAACCCGAACCTAATAATCTATAATGCTCTACTGAGAGCTGTGGAGGTTTTGCAGCATGGCTGATGGACGTCTCCAGCGCTGGAGGTCACCTGACTGCATTATAGAGAAGTGGAGCAGAGCGTGACGTGGCACTGGATCAGGAGAATCCAGCCAACGACAACGACTCACTCACACACACATGAGAACAGTGTTACTGTAAACACGTCTTTGATCAAAATGCAAGACTAAGTTTATAAAGTGTTGCGAAGTTGCTCCATTATTTAATAATCCATAATATTCCTATCTCCAATGTTACTTTGGGCAAAATGTGGCCAAGACTTCCAGTCAGATATTACTAATAATCACAAATAATCCAAGCATTGTTGGACAAAACCTGCTGGACAATCATCATATTTACAGTCCTGCACTAATGCACACACATAATATATCCTTAAGCTACTTTAATATAAGACTTTTATCACGATTTAAAATTCAATATTTAATCCGTGCAATCCAACAAAAAGAAGATTGTGTGTGTGTGTGATTTTTGTTTAGTTTACAACGTAACCGAGCATGAACAAAACAGATAATTAAATGTTAACGCAATGTTGATAATGTAAAATAAATATTCAATTCCACAAAGCGAACATTTGGATAGGCCTAGCTGATGAGAACTCGAACCCTGGAGCTGATTGGTTCTGAGAAATGTTGTTCCAGATCCAGGAACTTGTGTAAATCACGTTAAGTGTGACAACATGAGTGTGTGTGAGGGAGTGTGTCCCTGCGGCTGTCCGGGTCAACTGTCTCGCTGTTATGAAAGAATCTGGGTCACACAGAGGAAATGTGTACAAGCCTGTGTGTGTGTGTGTGTGTGTGTGTGTGTGTTTACCAACATGTTCTGGATTCTTCCATCTTAATAATATCTCTAAATTACGCCGTATGCTCTCAATGACAGATGCGGAAGAGTTAGTTGATGCGTTCATGACATCAAGACTAGATTGCTCTACTGGGTGGACGCCCTGCACGCTTAAAGGATTAGATCACTTTTGAAAAAACTTTTGCTGATAATTTACTCGCCCCCGTGTCATCCAAGATGTCCATGTCTTTCTTTCTTCAGTCGAAAAGAAATTAAGGTTTTTGATGAAAACATTCCAGGATTTTCTCCATATAATGGACTTCAATGGGGTCCAAACGGTTCAAGGTCCAAAAGAGAGTTTCAGTGCAAACTGTTCAAAGGGCTTTAAACGACACCAGGCGATGAATAAGGGTCTTATCATGCGAAACGATCCGTTATTTCAAAGCTTATTCCCAAAATGTAACTTTTCTAAGGACAAATGCTAGCCTTGCTCTATTCTGTGAGGCGCGTTTGTAACGTCACGTAATACGTAATTACGTTCAAAAGGTCACGGGCGACGTAGCCGGAAGTACAGAGTCAGTGTTTACAAGTTGAACGCATAGGTTGAACATGAAAACTAACTCAAACACCGTTTACAAAAAAGGAATTAAAAGGTAAAACAACGATGTCGGACGATTTTGATTCTGTACTTCCGGCTACATCGCCCGTGACCTTTTGAACGTAATTACGTATTACGTGACGTTACAAACGCGCCTCACAGAATTTGAGAAAGGCTAGCATTTGTCCTTAGAAAAGTTACATTTTTGGAATAAGTTTTGAAATAAGCGCTCGTTTCGCATGATAAGACCCTTATTCATCGTCTGGTGTCGTTTAAAGACATTTGAACAGTTTGCACTGAAACTGTCTTTTGGACCTTGAACCGTTTGGACCCCATTGAAGTCCATTATATGGAGAAAATCCTGGAATGTTTTCATCAAAATCCTTAATTTCTTTTCGACTGAAGAAAGAAAGACATGGACATCTTGGATGACACGGGGGCGAGTAAATTATCAGCAAAAGTTTTTTTAAAAGTGAACTACTCCTTTAATAAACAAACTCCAGCTGGTCCAAAACGCAGCCGCTCCAGGAAGTTTGACCATACTAGCCCGGTTCTGTCAACCCTGCACTGGCTGCCTATTAAACATCACATGCATTTTTAAATATTCCTGATTACTTAAAGCACTGGATGGTTTAGCTCCAGTACTTAACGCATTTTAGTCCTTCACGTCTACTGCGATCTCGATATTCACCGCTGTTGAACTGCATGCAGTGGACCCTTTCCTATTCAGCATCTAACAGCAGACACACTCTGGAAAAATCTGCACTATAAAACACATCTCTTTAACCTGACATCATCACATTCATTTAACGATTTGCTAAGCTGGATGAATTAGGCTCGGTCAACAGGAACCGGGAACACTTCCTACAACACCCGATGTGCTCGTCACACCGTAAGAAGAATAGCATCTATGCTAATATTAGTCTCTCTGTTTACCCTGAGGTTACCGCCGTCAGCTGAATCCGACCCGTGTCCCGATCCGGCACCTAGACACGACCTCAACACAGCCCTGAACGTCAGACCGCGTCAACTAGAGTCTCCCTGTGCAGGCGAGTCACACGACCGCCATCGGCACTGATCCTCCGACCGGCATGATGGATCTGATCTTCAAGCAAAAGGAACGGGATAAATATTTGAATGCTTCCGATCCCGATCTGAATTCTGACTTAATAATGAGACCGTGTCCGTTCGTTGGCCAGAGGAGGACCGGCTCCCCGACTGAGCCCAAGGTGTCAGTCTCCTGAGTTCGAAAGGCTGTGGTGTATGATGAACAAGTCACGACTGAGGGCGTCGTTAGGCTTGAGTTATTCGCGATACAGCTCTCGCTTTAATAAAACGGTTACCACGCTACGCAAATATTAAAGTAAAAAAAATATGTGTCAATGCAACTTTAATGAAGTAAAATCACTAAAAGTCTTCCTTCCACCGGAAAAAATAGTCCCTGACTGAGAACAGCAGATGATCGCCTTTAGATGGCGGCGAAGACTGACTGAAAGTAGAGAAGACTTTATATAGACCCCTTTTCAGTTGGTAAACATGGTGACGTTTTTTTGTGGGCGGAGCTTAGGTGGAGGCAGAACGATCCCTCTGGCCGCTTCACTAACGCTAGTTAGCAAGGATTGTTAGCTTGTTTTTTTTAACAATGACTGGAGAAAATCAGGTTTTATCTTAATGTGTAAGGTCACTCAGTGTCCAGGACCGCGATTGTTATTTCCAAACGTTATTTTTAACGGACAGAACCAGATTGGCCGACCCGTAGCCGCCTACACGCTCACTCAATGATGGACGATCTGACAGGATTAGCGTACGTTACCTCGGGTGAGTGGCCTGACTTCTACACCTACCTTATAGAGAAACCCATCGTAAAGAGAAACTGAGGGCATATAAATCTTTAGATGCCTATATGGTCATGTGTGTACGATCCGCAGTTCTGCCGAGTCCACGACAATGTAAACAGTGACATTACAGTGCGATTTTAATCATGTGAATATTTTCTAGAAATAAAAAATCCAGATACAGCATATTCATTTTTCATTGATACTTGCACCAAACAACACAATAAGATGATATTTAAAAGTAATAAAAGTAATTTGAGTTCCTTATTATGTAGCCGAATCTGTGCTGGTTTGTATTGGCCGCCTCCAGTTTTCACTTTGTTTTGCCTCCAGCTAGCGCCGTGACGTAACTGTGACGTCGGCGCAAAAGGGGTCTATTGAAAGGTCTAAACTGGCTGTGAACTTGGAGAAGCAACTGGCGAATGATTAGCGCAGAAAACATCATAACTGTTCAGGACAAGATATCCAAGCGGATTATTATCATGAATATCGTACTGGCCTGAAGATGCTGTATCTGCTGTAAGCGCAGGAACACTCGCACTCTATACGCTTATCAACGGACAACATTAATGACAACATAGCCTATGTTTATGTTGCTAAGAGTGGTTGCTAGGGTAACACAGCTATTGACCAATCAGAATCAAGAACTAGATCTAACCGTGTTATAATCAGAATTACTGATCGGACTGACACGGGGGAGGAACTGAACTGACCTGGATGAGGACAACCCTGCTGATGATCTTTACAACAGAACTCAATCAACACTGAACTGACATCAGTAGAGCTGTTGGACATCCGAGAGGAACTCAACGAATCATCATTTCCTGTTATCACGATTAAACTGCAGTCTGTACTGTATAAAGTGCTCTATAAGGTCATGTGACTTGACTTAAAGAAAGAAGAACATGGAAAAAGCATCATAGGTCCTCTTTAAACAGTAAAGTGAGAGATCATGCGAGAAGAATAAGCACATGTAACCAGCACAATTATGCAGTTTAGTGTTATCATGAACGGAGCGTGTCTGGACGGGTTTGGTGTGATGATGGAGGACGGGAGCGACGGACTCACAGCTTGTTGCCCTTCAGGGCCGCGTGATGCAGGAGGTTGAACCCGCGGTTGTTCTGCTGGGTGAAGTCGATGTTCGGCACCACCGTCAGAATCTCAATGATGCTTCTGAAGTCTTTAGCGATGGCGTCGTGTAAGGGTGTATCTCCATATGAATCCTGACAACACAACAGCAAAAACAATCACTTAAAGGGGACAAACCATGAAACTCTGACTAAGTGAAACAGAATCACGAGACTATGAATCCTGCTCAACTGACTTATAGGTTACTGAATAAGTTTGAAATTGGCATTTTCTTAACCCTTATGCTGCATTAGGGACATTTTTGGTCTTTTGCAGTTTAATTTCTTTGACCATTTTGGCTGTTTTAATGCAAATGGTATGAAATTTGGCAAAATTGTGACTTTTTGGATACATGTAAAAAATGTGATCCCATTTTGCAAAATATGTATAACACACACTGTGTAGATCAAATAGTAACACTCAGCACCATAAAGACCAAAAATGGCCCATTGAAACCCATTAAAACGTTGTTTAAATCTGAGGCTGTCAGTAATACATGAAACATGATTTTTGCACAAACATCCTTTCATTTTGAAGCAAAAGCATTATATTTGCATTATATAGTGATGACGTCACTACATATTTATTCCCTATGGGTGGAAATGCACCTTATTTTAGGCAATAGGCAATGTTTAATAGGTGGCCATTTTTGGTCTCTAACGCGCTAAGTGGGATTTTTTGCAAAGTGGGACTGTGATAATCCAAATCTAAAGTTTTCTCTTTGCATTTAGTTTATTGAAAATAATTGAATTTTTGTGTTTTTTCCTCTTATACAAATCGATGGTTTCGCAAACAAAACTGGTAATTAAAGGGTTAAAATCCTGAAATTGAATACATTTTTGGTAGTTATGATGAGGACTGATGCTGGTTAAAAGATTTAACTTGGTAAAAGTGGAAAATAATAATAATATATAATATTTTAGGCAATGTTTAATATGTGGCCATTTTTGGTCCTTAATGCACTCAACGGTGTTAAAAATCTAATGCAGCACAAGGGTTAATACAAATATTAAATAATAACTGCAATTAATAAAAAAACATGCCACTGGAGATGTCTTGCCCCAAATCTTCACATCAACACAAAAACAATAATTCTAAACGAGTTAGTGAGTTCACAAACGCCCCAGTAACAGACATAGATAAACATAATATCCAACTAATATTTTAATATCCAGCATAAAATAAACACTGCACCTACTACCAAAAAACCCCCAAACTACACCAGTTAAACTCCGAACAGGAGTCTGACGTTGCTGTCTGACCTGCAGGTTGACGTCGGCCGAGTGCTCCGTCAGCACCCTCACCACATCCGTGAAGCCTTTATTGACCGCGATGTGCAGCGCCGTACACATGGAGTTGTTCAGCAGGTTCACCGAGGCTCCTTTACTGAGCAGGAGACGAGCGATCTCAGCCTGATTCCTGCACACACACACACACAGATCATACACAGCTGCAGGACACAAACAAGAGCAGGCACACAACAAACACTGTCTGCATACACACACTCTTCTAAAAAACTTCTTTTGTGTTCAAAGAAACAACAAAAGGGCGAGTCAAAGATGACAGAGCTTCCTTTTTGGGTATGTTTGGGTATATAACATATGTTATAATACAGACATATATAATAATAATATTCAGGGGTTATCTACGGTGTGTTGTAGTAATCCTTTAAAGTCATTAGTGTGAGGAGAATAATGTCATCTCATATACCCAGTGTTTGAAGATGCTTTGGTGATGTAACGGTTGATTACGCATTAATCAGACTACAGTGAGCTCAGGCCTGGTGTGTGCGCCTTCTGAGAAACACAGAGGTGATGCTTGTATTTAATCCTTCAAATAATCTATTACGCCGAAGACTGCGGCTCCACGACTCACAGAAACTGCAGCACGACAGGGATTGAAAATAACTTTTCCACTCACCGGCCAATTCGGCTACTAAATCTTTAAATTACCGGCCATTCAGAACTTCTACTAGCCAAAAAAATAAAATAAAAAATAAACCATATATATATATTTATATATATATATATATATATGAAGAGTTCAGATGCAAAAGCCTCTAAATGCCGTTTGAAATTTTCTTCTTTAATGATAATTTTTATCAAGCTTATATATTTAAGTTCAGTAATTTCACTTAAATGACAATTAATAGGTAATTATCATTGCCATTTAAATTAAATCACTGAACTTAAATATACAAGCTTGATAAAAATGATCATTCTAGAAGAAAATTTCAAATAGCACTTAGAGGCTTTTGCATCTGAACTATATATATATATATATACTATACTATATATATGCTGTGACCTAGTTAATCTGTTTTATTTCTCTTTTTTCCCCATTTTGTCCTTATATACATCTATATTTTTATTTTATTATTTATATATATATTTATATATATATATAATTGTTACACAATTTGATACATTAATTTCTTATTCAAAAAAATCCTGTCATCCAGCATCTCCTCTTCCTCTTTCATCCTCATCACCAAAAATGTATTTTATGTGGACAGATCGATACAGCAACATACATCAAAAAATGTAGGATGTTGGAAAATAAACGAATAATTTTCTGTTAACTAAATGCTTTTTAATCTTCACTTTTGCTACAATGCAAATGAATGAGCTGTATAATATTTTAAAAATATATAGCCGCATCTAATACTTGGTAATACACACAGGGACTTGTCTTATATTGTGAGAATGAGTAAGCGCTCACCCGAAGGCTGTGTAGTGTAGCGCGGCGTCTCCGTCCTCATCTTTGGCCTCGATGCTGCTGTTGGCCTGAAGCAGGACCTTCACCACCTCCACGTGCCCCTGATGGGCAGCCACCTGCAGAGCCGTCTTACCCTGGTTCTTTATATCCACCTGGACACAGTCACACACTTTACTGTGTATTCACTTAGAAAACAGATGATTTCAATTGTAATAATGTTTCATTTGATCAAATAAATGCAGCCTTGAGGTACAGAAGAGACACTTCCAAAAAACATTTTTTTTTTAAATTGTACTCTAGAAGGCTGAAGATTAATTGTGAAACTAATAATTGTGAATAATCATTTAATTATGTTTTGTCTTTTTTAAAACTTTAAATGCTATAAAAATGTATATTTATATAATTAATAATAATATAACATATACTTTTATTATACTATAAGGCCAGTTTTTCCTGCAAACACAGATAATCAGCTGAGTCTGTCTCTAGTGTTTATAAAAGGAAATATATAAAAAGAAATAACTTAAAACGACCAGAGATTTTGTACTACATTCTGTCAGGCTGAGAAACTGACCTTGTCAGGGTATTTTTGCACCATTTCGCGCACTTTAACGGCGCTCCCGTGCGCTGCCTCGATAACCAGCCGTCCCGGGTGATCCTGCTCCGTCGACTGAGACAGCAGCTTCTCCAGCACCGAAATAACCGTACCTGAACGATGGAGAGGGAAATAATTAAACTCTGCGTTCAGAAAGGTTTCCATGAGCCCACAGTTCAAAACCAGTCAGAATGAGTCAAAATGTCACCATGCATCAACACACAAACAATCCAGCACTGGCACAGCATGTGAAGGAGAGAAAAAAAGAGAGAAAGACACTAAAAACACACGGCGCTGAAACGAGAAAAACAAGCATTGGTTTCATGCAGGAAAGTGTGGAAGAGAACAGATGATTTATTTTTATCTTAAAGAGAGCCAAAGAAAAAAGAAAAGAATCATACGACACGACGAGGAGAGTGAGGAGCGGCACTTCCTGTGAATTCTTACTTCCTGATTCGCTGGCGTTCTCAGCCGTCATCAGATTGGCGTCGACCTCACCAGGCTGTGCAGAGAGACACGCGGGGTTAAAGGTCCACGTCTGACCTCCAAACGCCACACGCAGATCCCCGTCGGCATACACTTTCAAAACCTTTCCAACCTGACCCAACGCCTGAGAATAAACACACAAACCAAGAGTCAAATAGAGGATCAGTGCCTCAGGGCTCAGTGCTGGGGCCGCTTCATCTACATGTCATCTGTCATTCAGAAACATGGTTTATCCATCACTGTTATCATCTAGCTACTGGAGTGCCTCAGGGCTCAGTGCTGGGACCGCTTCTCTTCTCCATCTACATGTCATCACTAGTGTCTGTCATTCAGAAACATGGTTTATCCATCACTGTTATCATCTAGATACTGGAGTGCCTCAGGGCTCAGTGCTGGGGCCGCTTCTCTTCTCCATCTACATGTCATCACTAGCGTCTGTCATTCAGAAACATGGTTTATCCATCACTGTTATCATCTAGCTACTGGAGTGCCTCAGGGCTCAGTGCTGGGACCGCTTCTCTTCTCCATCTACATGTCATCACTAGTGTCTGTCATTCAGAAACATGGTTTATCCATCACTGTTATCATCTAGATACTGGAGTGCCTCAGGGCTCAGTGCTGGGACCGCTTCTCTTCTCCATCTACATGTCATCACTAGCGTCTGTCATTCAGAAACATGGTTTATCCATCACTGTTATCATCTAGCTACTGGAGTGCCTCAGGGCTCAGTGCTGGGACCGCTTCTCTTCTCCATCTACATGTCATCACTAGCGTCTGTCATTCAGAAACATGGTTTATCCATCACTGTTATCATCTAGCTACTGGAGTGCCTCAGGGCTCAGTGCTGGGACCGCTTCTCTTCTCCATCTACATGTCATCACTAGTGTCTGTCATTCAGAAACATGGTTTATCCATCACTGTTATCATCTAGATACTGGAGTGCCTCAGGGCTCAGTGCTGGGACCGCTTCTCTTCTCCATCTACATGTCATCACTAGCGTCTGTCATTCAGAAACATGGTTTATCCATCACTGTTATCATCTAGCTACTGGAGTGCCTCAGGGCTCAGTGCTGGGGCCGCTTCTCTTCTCCATCTACATGTCATCACTAGCGTCTGTCATTCAGAAACATGGTTTATCCATCACTGTTATCATCTAGATACTGGAGTGCCTCAGGGCTCAGTGCTGGGACCGCTTCTCTTCTCCATCTACATGTCATCACTAGTGTCTGTCATTCAGAAACATGGTTTATCCATCACTGTTATCATCTACTGGAGTGCCTCAGGGTTCAGTGCTGGGACCGCTTCTCTTCTCCATCTACATGACATCACTAGCGTCTGTCATTCAGAAACATGGTTTATCCATCACTGTTATCATCTAGCTACTGGAGTGCCTCAGGGCTCAGTGCTGGGACCGCTTCTCTTCTACATCTACATGTCATCACTAGTGTCTGTCATTCAGAAACATGGTTTATCCATCACTGTTATCATCTAGCTACTGGAGTGCCTCAGGGCTCAGTGCTGGGACCGCTTCTCTTCTACATCTACATGTCTTCACTAGCGTCTGTCATTCAGAAACATGGTTTATCCATCACTGTTATCATCTAGCTACTGGAGTGCCTCAGGGCTCAGTGCTGGGACCGCTTCTCTTCTCCATCTACATGTCATCACTAGTGTCTGTCATTCAGAAACATGGTTTATCCATCACTGTTATCATCTAGCTACTGGAGTGCCTCAGGGCTCAGTGCTGGGACCGCTTCTCTTCTCCATCTACATGACATCACTAGCGTCTGTCATTCAGAAACATGGTTTATCCATCACTGTTATCATCTAGCTACTGGAGTGCCTCAGGGCTCAGTGCTGGGACCGCTTCTCTTCTACATCTACATGTCTTCACTAGCGTCTGTCATTCAGAAACATGGATTTTCGACTGCTATGCTGCTATTTTTCTTCATTCCAGCCGGAAGATCTGACGGGAGGTGCTCGCATCTCAGCCTGACAGAGATTTTTTGCTGAATGAAGGACCATCCCCTTCAACTCAACTTTGTAAAGTTAGAACTGCTCGTGGTCTCAGCCAACCCAACACTTCATCACAACTTCTCCATTCTGCTGGGTTTATCATCCATAACTCCATCCAGGACAGGCAGGAACCTTGGAGTTGTGATTGATGATCAGTTGAACCTCACAGAGCACACAACTCCTGGTCCAAGCTCTTGTCCTATCCAGACTGGATTATTGTAAAACCTCTGCAACTGATCCAGATGCCGCAGCAAGAGTGTTTATCGTCACATCTCTCCTCACAAAATTGCACTGGTTGCCAATCACAGTTTGACTCAAACTCAAGGCACTGGTGTTGGAACAACCATTGGCTCTGCTCCCATCTACATAAACTCACTACTCCAGGTCCATGTGTCTCCAGAAGCTTGTGTTCTGCAAGTGAACGGCGTCTTGTGGCCTAAATCACCTTCACAGACCTTCACCTGGACAGCCATCTTCAAGAAACTGCTGAAGATGCATATTTCCCATCAACCCTAGTCCCATTAATACTAACACTAACTATTCTATTCTGTCAATCGGTTTTTGATTATATTGATACATGTACTGTGCTTCTTCACTTCAAAGGTCAGAGGATTCGTCCCCTCAAATAAATGTGATTTCACTTTGTCGATGAGGAACCTACAGGAGCCATGCTGTCTGTCCACTCGCCATGGCCAACCTGAAGTCTCTTCACACTGTCAATGTCATCCAGAACCTTCACCAGCTCGCCCACGGCAAACGTGTTGACCTGCACAGAGACACAGAGACTCTGTTATAACAACACACACTTCCTGACAGACCAATTAGTCAAAGTCGTCTGAGGCTTTAGCTAATCGCCACAATCTGGTGCCGTCCTTCATCCGCCATAAGCAGAGAGAAACAGGCCCAGCTGTCTATTTATGGCGTGCTTCTTGGGAAAAGCAGGCTTTGTGAAACAGACAGCCGCCGTACGAGCTTGAGCGTAGCTAAATATACACAGCAGTCTGCCTGGAACAAACACTTCACAGGTGAGGACAACAGACATGGCTTTTCCTCTGAGTACGTCTGGCTATTTGTGGGATCTTCTTGCCTTGGTCAGAGCTCCGGGGTGGAACGTCCAGCGGATGTTGTTACTATACTGGACTCGCACGTCTCCTCGGTCCGTTATTCTGTGCACAGACCCAATTCTGGAGATGTACTGCCAACACAAACACAACAGATATCCAATACAACAATTTTTAAGTACAACATGCATGGTCTTAAAGGGGTCATGACATGAGAAATCAAATCTGCCTTGATCTTTTGACATGTTTACACCTGGCCACTTCATGCGTGTTCTGTGATTGGATGGCTACCCGATCGTGAACAGACCAGGTGTTAAAGGGATACTCCACATTTTTTGGAAATAGGCTCATTTTACCACTCCCCCAGAGTTAAACAGTAGGGTTTTACCGTTTTCGAATCCATTCAGCCGATTTTCTGATATTTAGAAGAATATTTGGAAACTAATATATACTATGGAAGTCAATGAGACCAGAAACTGTCTGGTTACTGATATTCTTCTAAATATCAGAAAATCGGCTGAATGGATTCGAAAACGGTAAAACCCAACTGATTAACTCTGGGGGAGCCTATTTCCAAAAAAAGTGGAGTATCCCTTTAATAACGACAGACCCCAAAAATACGATCAGCCCCGTGTGAGGGACGCCCATGCTAACATTTAAAATCCTTTTAATGCAATTTTAATGTATCCCTTTAATGCCCCCCAAAACGCATGCGAGACGGATTTGAATCTGATTGCTCAAACCAGTTCTGGAGGGGATTTGAGACACAAAATTGGACAAGTGTAAACACATCTGCTGTTGAAACCACATTTGTAAGTTTTACTCCTGCCAACAATGTTTGTGAGAGCGTGTTAAAGGTTATATGTCACGTTATAGCTGTGCTACTGCATCACCGCAGATGAGCATCTATTCATCATCCAACGTGCAAATGATCGCTGATTAGTGCACACAATCATCTTCACACACTTTATATTAAGGTGACGTACAGTGTACATTAAACATAAGTACCGCGTAATATCAATTCACAACATGGACCTACTAAATGTGGGTTAGTTTTAGTGTTGGTTGCTTGTGTTGCTTGATTGACACTATAAAATAAAACGCTAACTAATATTTATATAGACTTACAATAGTAATATATCACTGTCTTGGGGATAATAATAATATAAATCTATTATTATTATTATTTTTACATTCACATTTTTGTCTAAAAACACTTATTTCGTCTGTAGACACCACAGTATTTCACAACCACAAAGATGTGTGTGTCCACTGTGAAGTCCAGCTACAGACTTACACTAAAACACTTCTACTCAACGTGTTTAACTTTCATAATCTGAGGTATTTCTGAAAAGATCTTGAATGAAATAAAGCAGGGCTTGTTATTGTCTGCTATATTACTGGTCATCTCCACACTTCAGCTGACGTCAACAGAAATAAAGTCATTTCAAATTTGACAAAAGTTAATTTAAAAAACAGTCATTCATAACTAATAACTTAAATGACATTAACGACGAAACACGGTGTTTGCAGTGCAGTTGTGAATATTAAGGTGTGTTTTCACCTCTCCCATCTTGGGGTTCCAGCCTCCGTGTCCCTCCTGCATCTGCCGGAGGATGTCCAGCTCCAGGAGACACTTCACCTTATCCCCTTGCTGGAACGAGTGTGTGTCCGCGCTGTCCTGCCTCTGCAGCTCCGCGTGCTCGCCTGAACACACACAGTAATCAGTTGTATTATTACACAGCAATGTGTCCATGATTCACTGAAGGGAATTCATTAATAAATCGTGGGAACAAATTCTTAACCCTCAGGTGCTCTTCGTTTCGGAGTCACACTTGTTATCCTCCCGACACCTAAAAATTAAATTTCCTCCATCCCAGTAAAACTAATGCAATTTATTTTTGTTCTATAATATTTTTTTCTTTGTAATTTAGTATTTTGAGACAATTTGATTGAATTTATTAATATTTATGCAACATTTATAGTCTATTTTTTTTTTTATATATATATTTTTTTTTTTTCAAAAAAAATATTAACGCAGTATTTTAGTTTAATATGGAGTCTAGGCCTTCAGGAAAAAAATATTTTTTGAAGAAAATTAGCACCATCTGGTTACAGTATAGAGAAAAAGCGTAGAATCATGATGTAACCACTAGATGGCATGTACAGCTCTCTATGGAGAGGCATGTGAATTCCCCAGCTGTTTATCAACACATTTTTTGTGGATTTGAATATATAGTTGAAACTATCTCAAAAACGATTTTTTTATAAAAAAAAAAAAAAAAAAAGTAAAAAAAAAAAATTGTGAATTTTTGTGTTTGTCAATTTCCCATTCATTTCCTATGGGGTCATTTTTGACCAAAGACCACAAGTGTGACTATTTTTTTTAAGACCACTTAGCATGCTCAGATCATGACCTCAATTTTTTTGTGTGTTCACATACATAATGCCATAAAAGTCACCAAGTTTCGTAACATTCCGATGAAGCTGTGATTTTTAGAAATTCAAAACAGAAAATTTTTCTGAAATGACGGAAGAGCACCTGAGGGTTAATATGTGGCCATATCACAGTCGTGTGCTACAATATAACGTGCTTTCCTGTGATATCGAATCCTAAATGTCCCTGTCTCACACATATGGGACGTAAAAAGACTCTTCGCATCTGATCTGTAGAGTGTCTGACACTGTCATTTAGATGAAAACATGTAAATATGATAAATAAGTAAATGAGCATTACCTAATTTGGGCAGGTGTTCCTTATAGTAGAATCCTCCCTGAACGTCCGACACGTACTTCAGATCCACCTTGCCCTTGTGACCCATCCGGTAGACGTTCGTGGTCCCGTTAGACCATGTGACACTCGCCACACTGCGACCCGACTCCTGATCCCAGCCGCGGATATCCACGACCTTCCCAACCTTTCCCTCGCCTCCTGCTCACACACACATGAACACACACACACACACACACACACAAGGGACAGGGCAGGAGTCTCAGAGCAGGATCGGGAGAAAATGAGTGAGAACAACAGGTTTAAAACTGAACACGTGTGTCAGTCGAGTCTGAATGAAACGAGAACGTCACAGTAACGTCACACGGGAACACACACATCTCAGATATCAAGAATATGCAGGATTCCTGTGGTTTTATATGCTACATTTTGACGTATCTAATCATATTTGTTGATTGATCTACAGTAGTTATAGCATTTATATGGAAATAAACAATGTGTGTAACTGCAGTTAATCAAGAGTTATGATCAATACTTAACCTGAAGCCAATGTTAGCCTTCACAATGAAAGATATTCAAACAACAAGGAGACCAATAAACATAACCTATGTGTAAAGCTACGCCAAACACAGGTCAATCTCACGAAACCTCACGATCTACCCCAGAATCAGAGAGGAAATAATAAATCATATTTTGCACAAAGAAAATTGTCTGTTTTGGCATTTTCATTTGTTTCCCCCTCATTTAAAAATCGCTCTATTAATCCTACAATCACATTTTTGAATTTTTTTATTAATTTATTCAATTGCTTGTTAAAAAAAAAAAATATTCTCGGTCCTAAAAGTAGCCTGGTTTTCTTTATGCCAAGAATAGGCTTTCTTTTCTCCATTCCTTCTTTCTCTGTTGATTTTGGGGTTGAACATGAGCTGGAGCTTCATCTAATAATCACTAATAAACACCGCCATGACACGCCAAACACAGGAGAAACACACGCCACAGACCCTCCCACAACATGACATCATGACTTTTGCGTAAACATACACGCCACTTTCAAGTCAAGTGGCGTGTTGTCTATACGCATTTTCAGCTCTCCGCGTCAACGACAGACATTTTGACTCATTCATCAGTGCAGTGAAAACACAGATCTGCACACACACACACACATGAGATCATCTCATCAGCCGTAAAGGCTGTACCTTTAACAGTGAAGAAAGAACAGCAGTCAAAGACTCTTTCCTTTCAGAGATCGGCCTGTCGCTGTTACTCTCCACGGGTATTTGATCCAATCGCAATTGTTTAAAGGTGCAGTGTGTACGTTTTAACAGCATCTAGTGGTGAGGTTGTGATTTGCACCCAACAGAAGTTACGGCGACCGACAGGAAGTGATGTCGTCGTCTGAGTTAAACAATGAGGTTTCCTTATACAGGTACATTAAGAAATTAAATTCACCTAATTATTCAGTAAAACAATGTTAGTGTGAATATTATTGTCACCGTAGAAACATGTCGATGTGTGCGGAGAAACGCTCATTCTAAGCTAATAAACACACAACACTTCATTGTGTAAGGTGTTTATTAGGGCTGGGTAATAAATATCGATTTCTCGATACTAATTGATTCTCATTTTTACGAACCGATATCGATTCTTAAATCTCAAGAATCGATTAGTCATCCTGTTTCATTTGAATGAATGGATCATTGTATCGTGGCTGCGCGCATCCAAACAAATCGCTATAATCTTCGTCCTTTGTTACTATTGATGTGAAACAAAGTCTCAATTTTCAAATTACGTCCATTTTCTTTAGAAATTCAAAAACATAAGAGTGAGATCGTGAGATCGCTCTGGAGAAGCAGCAGCGCTGATCTCTCTTCCGGCTTAATAATACCAGTCACAGCGCCAAATAAACATGAACGAGCATCTGAAAGTGTGTTAAAGATACAGTACAACTTATCCAAATCCGGATCATGTCACATTGATTCGCTCAATCAGCGTTTAAACCTTGGAAAGACGTCAGTTAAACAGCTTGTAATCAATGTCATCGTCATATTTACCTCAGAAAACCCACATCAACTCGTTAGTCAGCTAGAAAAAAATAACTCCAGAGGAGCATTTTGCTAAATATATACACCATATTACATATGCATTATAATCTTAATGTTCTTCAATATTTAATGCATATTTGAATAAATCTGGCAAGTTTTTATGTCAGCCACCATTTAAATGTTTATATTTCATATAATCTTCTGATTATAAAATAAATAAAAGTGTAATTTAAGTGTTTGTATAGCTACAAAACAGTTCATTATTACCTTCATATTAGGCTAATGAAGCCCAACTAGACTCCCATAGTTTACAGCATTAGTTCAGAGATTTGATTCCCTTGAGAAAAATTGCCATTTATTGTAACTGATATCCAAAATAATCGATATTGAATCGAATCGGAATCGAAATCGAATCGAATTGTGAAATTTTTGTCAATACCCAGCCCTAGTGTTTATACACCACTGAACACACAGTTATGTATATGAACACACTGCACCTTTAAAACACATTTTGCCGAAAAATATCCAGTATAAAGTACATAAAGACAGTCAAAGAGCTTCTGGTTATGTGACTCTGGGCCGACGCGGGTCAGGAGTCTCACCGTCTTGGTTCCCCCAGTCCCAGTCGGGGCCGCGCACCACCTTCACGCCCTGGAAGATGCCCTTCAGGATGATCCTGGACAGGTTCTGCCGCGGCGTCAGGCTCACTCTGAGGAGCGAGAACACAGTTACACTTCCACACACACTACACACTGACTCACATGGGGGAGCATCAACAGTCTGGTTACACACATTCTTCAGAATATATTCTTTTGTGTTCAGCAGAAGAAAGAAACTCATACAGGTTTGGACCAACACGAGAATATTCATTTCTGGGTGAAATATCCCTTTAAATCGCAGTAAGATGATGTTTACATGATATATGCATCATTTATTATTGTTATTATAACATTATTTTTCATTATTATATTGTGCCGCTGGTTATGATCTGCACATGACGTCACCAGTGTTCATCACACACACACTTTGATCAGAGACTCGATGCCATTAAACTCTTTATTAACAATATCCAGGAAGTGATGATTTTGTTCTCTTGACGGATGCTAATACAAAATGGGTTTTTAAATAACGAACATCATAATTAAACCTAAGGAAATAGTAAATCCATTCAAATTCAATGTACTGCAAAATTACTGAGAGGAAAAAAACACTATTTTTATTATTTCGAAACATGTATTTAAATGGTTGAGGCTGGAAATCCACCAATTCAGTGTTACAATTATTGATTTTAAAATGGAAATCATCACTGGTGGAACACGCCTAATTCAGATATCTCATTTATTTGTATCCTCCAGTGCTTTTGCCAATACCAGCAGATGAAAAGCTCAGAAGAACCCCGTTGAACACACCGACAACATCTCATCCGGCTGATCTCACATCAGACAACGTTCGGAAACACAAGCTCACGCACATAACACGTACCTTATAGTAAACACCTGATCTGATCGGGGAGCGAAGGAACTGCCTATTCCCATATTCATCAACGCTTCCTCCTCGACCGCACCTATCCCATCAGCACTAAACTCTGGTTCGGCTGTTTTCCCTTCTCATTTCCCCCTGGGATCGTGTGTGTTGAGCAGTCGGCATATGGCACCAGCTGACCCGCTCACGGCTTACACAGAATCAGATAAATCTCTAAGCAGCCGCTGGCTCTCGTGTCTCAGGTGTGTCTGAGATCAAAGGTAAGACGGTGTGTGTGTGTGTGTGACGCTCTGCATGCAACAGACAGACCATCCATGAATATCCATGAATCCATATTACACCCCTTTTCAGCAGATGTAATATTAATCTCTGGTGTCTCCAGAATGTGTGTGTAAAATTTCTGATTAAAATAGATCATGTATTATAGCTTGTTAAATTTGCCCCTTTTTGGGTGTGAGCAAAAAGTGCCGTTTTTGTGTGTGTCCCTTTAAATGCAAATGAGCTTTAGCCCCGCCTCCGTTCAGAAAAGGGCGGAGCTTCAGAGACTCTGGCAGTAACAGCACAGGCGGATCTGACTGATCCAGGATCAGGAGTAACAGCAGCTTTAGCTCCGCCTCCGCTCAGAAGAGGGCGGGGCTTCAGAGACTCCGGCAGTAACACCACAGGCGGATCTGACTGATCCAGGATCAGGAGTAACAGCAGCTTTAGCTCCGCCTCCGTCCAGAAGAGGGCGGGGCTTCAGAGACTCTGGCAGTAACAGCACAGGCGGATCTGACTGATCCAGGATCAGGAGTAACAGTAGCTTTAGCTCCGCCTCCGTCCAGAAGAGGGCGGGGCTTCAGAGACTCCGGCAGTAACAGCACAGGCGGATCTGACTGATCCAGGATCAGGAGTAACAGCAGCTTTAGCTCCGCCTTCGTCCAGAAGAGGGCGGGGCTTCAGAGACTCTGGCAATAACAGCACAGGCGGGTCTGACTGATCCAGGATCAGGAGTAACAGCAGCTTTAGCTCCGCCTTCCAGAGAGCCGTGAGAAAACACTGATGCCCTCATTGGCCATCGTCCTGTAACAGAATCAGTGTGTGGACACAAGAAAGATTACAGACGACAGCGTGACGCGAGCGAACTAGCCGCTGCTTTAGCCGATTAACCAGTTAGGCTGTTTTGTTCCTTGCTTTGGTAAACATGTGTGAGGTCATACGCCGAACTGTGTCCTGACACAAACACACACACGACCTCTGACCCAGAGCCGGCTCACACATGAGCATCCAGCAAGAATATCCCATATCCATCTTCACATTCAAGCTAGAAACTCGGTCTAATACTTCACATGCGTCTCACATTCAGTCAAATATCCACTGACTCTGAACTTAAACACTCTTTTTCTATATTTATTTCTATAATATATATACTTGTATATATATACATATTCAATTCAGTTCTTTCCTTACATTTGAAGATAAACCACCTGTTAAACATATCTGTAACCTACATTTACATTTATCTGACGCTTTTATCCAAAGCGATTTGCAATTGCTATATATGTCAGAGGTCGCACGCCTCTGGGTCAACTAGGGGTCAAGTGTCTTGCTCAGGGACACATTGGTCACACCAAAGGCATGTGTCGTATCCACTGCGCCATCACCACCCCTATAACATTGAACTTTTTTCTCAAATGTAAAATTAAACACAATTGAATTCACAAATAAAAAACAAAATTCACAAACTATTTACAGTTAATTAACCATATTTGTGATTACACTTTAATATTAATGGGTCAACATTTCTGTAACCTGGGACTGATGTATTTTCTCAATGTAAAAGAAAAGAAAAGTAAAATAAAATCATAAATAAGTCACAAACTTAAAGCTTCAGTTACTATAGTAGTTTAAGATCCTATTTCAGATAAATGCTGTTCTTTTAAACTTTCTATTCATCAAAGTATCCTGAAATAAAAGTGTCCACATCTGATAATAATCATAACTGTGTCCTGATCATCAGATCCTCATATTAGAAGGGTCATGTGACACTGAAGACTGGAGTAATGATGATAAATTCAGCTTTATCACATTATAATAATATTTTTCAATATTACTGGGTTGTGTTGCAGTATTTGTAATCAAATAAATGCAGTTTGACTGTTAGTGTACGCACACTCACATTATAGTAGAGTTGTGTTGTTTCAGGTTTCTAGAGTCTAAGTTTATGTTTGTCATTATATCGTATTATAGATTTTTGCATTCTGCTCTTTTTATGCAGATTTCAAGTATTTTCAGTTCATACTATAATACGTTTAGACTATTTCAATCACCGTGGGTTTTGTGACGTTATTTGCCATAAATGTGATACATTGGCAGCTGTGATATTGTAAGATATATAAGATAAGTTGTGAGCATTCGAGCAGATGTAATAACAACATCAAAACCTCAATGGTTATAGACAGGCCATACAACATATGATACACAACTAATGAGTAACGGATTATTTCTATAGGCTTCTGGGTATTTGTTGTGTGTGAGTGTGAGAGAGTGTGTGTGTGAGGAACTCACGGTTGTGAATGCGCCGTCTCGTAGCGCTCGAAGGCGTGCGTCAGGTCGTGTTTGTTGTTCATGTAACACTGAGTGCACAGGTCGTAATCGAAACACACCTTACACTTCCAGCGCATTCCCATAATGCCGTGCTTCTTACAACTGTCACAAATAATATTGGAGTGCCGGACACCTGAGAGGAAGAAAGACACATGAAGATCAGCGAGTCTAATCCAGCAATGGTGTGTGTGACAGGAAGTGTCCCACTGGGTTCATTTCAGCTTTTCACCATCACTTTAGTATTAAAATAATCATATTTTGATTGAAATGATCATATTTTACAGAGCAGAAGCCGGTCAGTGAGTCTCCAAACACGTAACGTGTGTGTGCGTGTGTGTTTTCCCGAGGCTTTCCCATTAAGCAGAGACGTGTGGTTTGAGGCGATGAGGATGATTTAATGATGCTCAAACACATCTCTGTTCATCATGAAGAGTTTCCTTGTAAACTGAGGAGGAACATCTTATATAATCAGATAATGCTCTTCTCTTCTGTCTTAATTCCAGTAAAACACCTCAACACTCTTAAATCAAGATGCATTTACTGAAGTAGTACAATGGCATAAGATATTATGTCTTGTTTTCTGGGCAAATACAACAAAATCAAGAGAGTTTTAGCGTAAAACAATCTAAATAATCTTGTTTTCCATTTGAATTAATATATGAAGAGTTCAGATGCAAAAGCCTCTAAGTGCCTTTTGAAATTTTCTTCTAGAATGATCATTTTTATCAAGCTTGTATATTTAAGTTCAGTGATTTCACTTAAATGGCAATGATAATTACCTATTAATTGTTATTTAAGTGAAATTAGTGAACTTAAATATACAAGCTTGATAAAAATCATCATTAAAGAAGAAAATTTCAAATGGCATTTAGAGGCTTTTGCATCTGAACTTTTCATATTTTCTCACCGCATTGGCAGATCATTTCGCTTGAAACTCATGAACTCACTTCATTTTGATTTATTTCCCAAGAAAACAAGACATAATATCATCTAGTAAATCCTTCTTGATTTAATCATTTTTAGATTTTTGGACTGGAAACAAAAATATTAAAGGGATACTCCACATTTTTTGGAAATAGGCTCATTTTACCACTCCCCCAGAGTTAAACAGTTGGGTTTTACCGTTTTCTAAACCATTCAGCCGATTTTCTGATATTTAGAAGAATATCAGTAACCAGAGACTTTCTGGTCTCATTGACTTCCATAGTAGGAAAAAAATATACTATAGGGGAGTTGTAAAATGAGCCTATTTCCAAAAAAAGTGGAGTATCCCTTTAAGAAAAGTATTATTTATCTTGTATTAATTATCTTATATATATATATATATTAGGGCTGTGCAAAAATTAATTGCGATTAATCGCATCCAAAATAAAAGTCTGTGTTTACATAATATATTTGTGTGTGCTGTATATAATCATTTTGTATATATAAATACACACACATGCGTATAAATTTAAGAAAATGTGTTATTCATATATAAAATATTTATATTATATAGATTATACATTTATATATATATACAGAATTTAAGCGCAAATAATTATTAAATATATACATGCATGCATAGGTATTTATATATACAAAATAATTATTTACAGCACACACAAATATATTATGTAAACACAGACTTTTATTTTGGATGCGATTAATCGCAATTAATTTTTGCACAGCCCTAATATATATATATATATATATATATATATATATATATAGGACTCCAGTGTAGTTTGTCAGACAGGCAGATATTGTCATATATTGTCATATATATAATCAGTTCAGGGATGTAGAGGATTGTGTCGTAAATATTTAAGCCAGTTTAAGCCTGCCACCACAGCGTGTGTGTGTGTGTGAGAGAGAGATCCATGTGTGTAATACACACCGCCACCAGCTGAGGGAGTAAACGACCGCTCACATGCTGACACACACCGTCCACACGACAGATCCTGCACAACTGAGCAAACTCACTGTAAAGTTTCCCTATTCAGGCTCTACTAGAACAGGAATGTTGATTATTCTCCATTGTTGCGACTCCTCTCTTCCCAGTCTGTCAGTAACGCTCTGTTCACTTCCTGTCTCTATGAAGCCCCTCCTCCTGAAAGCACACTGTGCTCTGATTGGCCGGCTGGAGAAGTGTGTTGTGATTGGTCAAGCGCTTCGAGTGTGTTTGTGAAATGTCCCGCCCCTTTCCATAACCGCCAGTTTATCACACTACTAACTCACTCACCCAGGCCCCGCCCCTTTATTCTGCGCATTAATTATTATAATGAGGAATATTGTGACGTGTTCGGAAACTCAAGATTACACTGAGTTCAGAAACACTGACACTGATATGGGGAACATCATAACCTTGATTTAAACATCTCAATTCTCTTTCTTATGTTGTTAAAAATCAGCTTGTTTTGTTTTCACCCGCGCCACCAAACCACCGTCCCGCCTCTCGTCTGTCCCAGAGAGTCACTGGCCTGCTTCCATTACAGATTTGCACAAGAGACGTGTCTGTGTAAGTGGACGAGCTGGTGTGGTCGTACCGATCTGTGCGTTGTCGTACAGGAGCAGGTCGTAGGCGCCCTGGTAGCCGGTGCGGTAGTTGGTTCGGGTCCCGCTGTCCCACTGCACTACTACGGTCTTGTCCGGCGTGGTCGTGCTGCCCTGCCGGCCGATCTCCACCACCGTGCCGATGTGCCCTTCTCCCTCGTCCTGCGAGCTCCACTTCCAGTCCAGGCCGCGCACCACACGCATGCCCACCTCCATGCTGCCGCGCGCCGGTCCGGTCTCGCTGGGCTTCCGCTGCGCTCGCGGGACGCTAGCACTCGCCGCCGGGGGGCGGGGAACCGGGAGCGCGAGGGAGCCGAGCAGGGCAGTCTCTGGAGACAGGTCAGGGCTGACTGAAACACACAAAACACACCGTTAATAGGCCTGAACAGCTCACTTTCAATTTCTTTCTTAAATATTAGCAAAGTTTAATTAAATTTGAATTCTAAAGGCAACACTTAAACAGATAGTTCCCCCAAAACTGAACATTAGCCCATGATTTAGTCACTCTCAACCCGTCCAGTGAAGGACTAGAGAAAATCTGAAGACCAAAAAAGTGCATCCATCCATGATTAAAACAATACACCACACGGCCGTCTGTCGGAAGCTAGAGATTATAGTTGATAAAGTTTTAAATATGGGTATTTCTTTACACAAACACATGGCTTCATCTCAGAAGGCCTTTATTAACCCACTGGAGTAAAAGTGGAGCACTTTTATGATGGACGGATGCACTTTTATGATGATAGATGCACTTTTATGATGGACGGATGCACTTTTATGATGGAGAGATGCACTTTTATGATGGACAGATGCACTTTTATGATGATAGATGCACTTTTATGATGGACAGATGCACTTTTATGATGGAGAGATGCACTTTTATGATGGACGGATGCACTTTTATGATGGATGGATGCACTTTTATGATGGACAGATGCACTTTTATCATAGATAGATGCACTTTTATGATGGACAGATGCACTTTTATGATGGAGAGATGCACTTTTATGATAGATAGATGCACTTTTATGATGGACAGGTGCACTTTTATGATGGATAGATGCACTTTTATGATGGACAGGTGCATTTTTATGATGGAGAGATGCACTTTTATGATGGACAGATGCACTTTTATGATGGATAGATGCACTTTTAAGATGGACAGATGCACTTTTATGATGGACCGATGCACTTTTATGATGGACGGATGCACTTTTATGATGGACAGATGCACTTTTATGATGGACGGATGCACTTTTATGATGGACGGATGCACTTTTATGATGGACCGATGCACTTTTATGATGGACGGATGCACTTTTATGATGGAGAGATGCACTTTTATGATGGACAGATGCACTTTTATGATGGACCGATGCACTTTTATGATGGACAGATGCACTTTTATGATGGACAGATACACTTTTATGATGGACCGATGCACTTTTATGATGGACGGATGCACTTTTATGATGGACGGATGCACTTTTATGATGGACCGATGCACTTTTATGATGGACGGATGCACTTTTATGATGGACCGATGCACTTTTATGATGGACGGATGCACTTTTATGATGGACAGATACACTTTTATGATGGACCGATGCACTTTTATGATGGACGGATGCACTTTTATGATGGACCGATGCACTTTTATGATGGACGGATGCACTTTTATGATGGACCGATGCACTTTTATGATGGACAGATGCACTTTTATGATGGACAGATGCACTTTTATGATGGACAGATGCACTTTTATGATGGATAGATGCACTTTTATGATGGACCGATGCACTTTTATGATGGACAGATGAACTTTTATGATGGACAGATGCACTTTTATGATAGATAGATGCACTTTTATGATGGACAGATACACTTTTAAGATGGACAGATGCACTTTTAAGATGGACAGATGAACTTTTATGATGGATAGATACACTTTTAAGATGGACAGATGCACTTTTATGATGGACAGATGCACTTTTATGATGGACGGATACACTTTTAAGATGGACGGATGCATTTTTAAGATGGACAGATGAACTTTTATGATGGATAGATGCACTTTTATGATGGACAGATGCGCTTTTATGATGGATAAATACACTTTGATGGACGGCCATTCATTGCCATTATATAGCTTGGAAGAGACTTAAATAAATCAGATTATTTTAGTCTGTAAGAAGAAAGTAATATTCTTTCTTTAATATTAGCAAAAAAGCAACAGGCACACACCGTTTTATGGACAACATACAATGTCATTTCTGAAACCCCTAGTGTCACAAAGCATGAGTAAATTCAATGCCAATAGTGACCATTAAAAACCACTCAGAAAGGGAGGCCTATGTTTTAACCAATTGTTTTGATAGAGGGAAACAAGATAGCCTAAATTTCTAGTTTCAACATTGTTTATTCTTCTTTAAACACAATTTAAAGTTATTTGAAAGTAAGTCACATTTGGTTTCATAGTTGCTTTGGGATCCCCGTATCTAGGGGATTTAACCCTATAGGGTCTTATCAAGATGAAGACTACAAAAGAAAAGTTTATTAAAAATTAGAATCTAGAAGGATACTGAGATATCTTTAATAGCCTACTTTTAGAGTTATAGGTATGCAAACTTTGGAAAAAATATGAAAGATTTTAGTTTCAACATTATTTGTTCTTTAGATATTCCTATTTAAATAAAAAAAGTATAAGCTGTATATGCAAAGTGACCCACATTTGGGGTGTGTACAACACTGAAAATGTGTACATTGAAACATTGAAATCCCAATATCTGTGGGATTGAACCACATAGAGCCTTTAAAATGAAGACATTAAAAGAAAAGTTTGTTAAGAACTAGTATCTAAAAGGATATCCAGAGACCTTTAATACTTCTTGAGTTACAGGCATGCAAACTTTAGGTGAAAAACACAAGCGCTTTCCCCCATTTTAGACCTGTAACCGTTGGCTTACAATGATAGACACACCAGTCTCTGTTTAAATATGAAATAATGATGCTGCCATCTTTCTAAAGTCATTTTACACCCCTGTAATGTGGCTCCATATCTTAGGTGAAAATTGTCTTTCATCAGAAAAAATATGAACAAAATCTCTGAAATTTGGTTGATTTGACACGGAATGACCCAAAAGTTCGTTCAAGTTCACAGAGAATATTCTTTCTTATCCTGGCAAAATGGTCCGTTTCTAAAATCTCAAAGTAAACCCAATGCACCCTTGAGAACGCAGTTATGCATCGGTGCTGAAACACAGGGAAAGCAGACATGTACAAGCTGTTGAAGTCAAACATGCACCTTTAATTAAATAAGCGAGCATATGCCAGCTGCGTACACCAGATCACTCTTCAAACTCGGCCCAGATCTACAACAGATGTTCTGCCCATGCGGTGCCGCTCGAGGCACTCGACCTGTTAGACACAGGGTCTCAGACGGGACGATACAAGCTTCACAGATGGACGAGCTCCACGGTGTGTACGGAGAGGCGTTCTCACTGAGCTTTACACAGAAACAGCTCCATGAACCCCGCTGGCCTTCACAGGAGCAGGTCAATGCTCACACACCGGCTCTGGCCAGCTCTGACCTCCTCACACACGCTTTTAAGACCTTTTAAAGACATTGTTTAGACTCATTTAAAGAATTTAAGGTCCTTTTAAAGAAATTAAAAATTTTTGAAGACCATTATAAAGAAATTAAGACCCTTTTACGACGCAAAGAGCCCTTTAAAGAAATTAAGATCCTTTAAAAAAAAAAATTAATTTCTTTGAAATGGTCTTAAAAGAGTCTTAACACCCTTTTAAGAAAGTAAGACCCTTTTAAAGAACTTTTTTTCCAGCTGTAAACCAATGCATGCTTATTACGAATGCATCCAAATCTAAAGTCACTTGGAATTAAAAGGCAAAAATGTTCAATAAATCCACAACGATCAAACAAAAGGCATTGGGAACACATGGCTTTAGATTGATCTCAAACACATTTTTTTTGTTTGAAAAGCTTCTTTGCCTGTTTTAATCTATGTCTAAATCTTATTTAAACAAATTATGGTGGATTAAAAGTTGAATTCAAATTGATTTATTATATTGTTTTTGTGCATTTGTATATCTATTTTTTTTGTTTTGTTTACATTATTTAAACTTTATGTACACCTTGGTCAACCTACGGTTGTGTTTAAGAGTGCTTTATTGTTATATTCTCCAAATATCTGTATAATAAATCCCAAGAAAAAACAATTAGGCTTTGCTCGAATGGATGTGCAATTATGATAATGCAGAAATCCAAACTTTTTTTAATTCAAGAAAGGATTTCCTAGTCATCACAACCAGCAATTAGCCTAGTGAATTCTGTAGCTAATCAATGCAATCAAATAATATTGTGCAATCAGTGCATTTCTACACCCCGATCCACCATTAAACAGCTGAGACATGCTCAGAATCTGATGTCATGAGGTCATTATTAACGTCTCAGCGCTGTGGTATATAACGAAAATACATTTTAAAAAGAGGAACTGCTCTTTTCCCATCAGACAACTTCCTCAATTCATGAGCCTGTAGTCGGATAAAGGTCAGTCTGGCGGATCTACATTACAACACTGCAGTGTCCTCGAACTCGAGACTCGTGGAGACCAGCGCATTCAACAGTCCAGGCCCAGTCCAAATGTCCACAATAGAGAATTAGTAGTAACTGAGCAACCTGTTCATTTACCCAACACAGAAAACTATTGATTGTCCCCATGCTATTAATATCCTCATCACAACGTTCACACGGGGTCCATCAGGGTTCGATCCTTGGACCTTTTAGTTTGTGTCTGACGCACAAATCCCAAGGTTTGCAGATAATACTACGATTTACACACAAGTAAAGCTAGAGGACGGCTGGAAATAAAGCAGTTAGCAGTCATTATTTGGTAAATGCGCATTAAAAACTTGGTGACACTTTACAATAAGGTTCATGAACTAATAATGAAGTACAGCATCCTTGTTCATGTTAATTACAACATTTACTCATACTTTAACAAATCTTGCATGTGAACTAACAATGAACAGCTGTATTTTGTTTTAACTCACGTCAATAAAGATTTGACAAATACAGGAACATATGTATTGCATGTTTACTCATGTCAGTTAATACATTAACTAATTTACCTAATAGTAAAGTGTTCCCGAGAACTCTACTGAAGACAAATGTTTACACACGGCCAACACTAGATAACGCTCCACTTTGGCACAATTTAAATCAAACATGAAAATATGGATATAGAGGAGTCAAACACTGTGCAACTTAGGAATTTGTTGTATTATTGTATGTACTACCCCTATATTATTATGATTTTGAATTTGATTATTA